CGATTTAACTTTTTGAAACCACTCATTTTGGACGAAAGTATTTACGCACACATATGTAAATTTTAAATTTAAAATGTAAATATCTATTCGCTGGTGGTTGCAGCAGACAAATCTAAATTTTGTATTTGAGCATTTTGCGTGCTACTATGTAAGTTTTAATACCAACCTCTTTAAAGTTTTATATCTTAACAATTAGATATCTGTTGCACATTAATTGTTTAATACATGGGTGCACATTAAAGTTATTGTAGCCCGAATTTTTTAATATGCAATTAAATGATTTCAAAAATCTACTTCTTATTTTAATTTGCAATTCAATACTTTTGTTTTGTGCAACTTGGTAAAAATCTGACAGTAATATTTAATGTTCCTTCAAACATAAGAATCCTGCATAAAATTTTGATAAAGTTGCGGCCCGCCATTTGATTTGTGTTTTTAATTGTGGCCCCCGGCCTCATGTAAGTTGGAAACCCCGGTCATAGCATATAGTACATTCGAAGTACGTTATGTTCTTTATTATGCCCATATTTTTCCATTTTAAAGACAAAATGATTTTTCGTTTAAAATAAAATTTCCTAAACTTTTTCGCATTGAGTAAAGCTTGGAGAGTTTAGATTCATAGATTTACCTTTGTTTATTGTAAAACTATTGAATAAACAAAGGATTCATCGGGAAAATTACATTAATAATATCATTAGAGCAAGCTCTAATAGAAGTAATAAAATAATAGTATTATTAATCATAACATTAGGATTCATTGTCTGTTTTAAAGACCTCTAAGACTAAGAAAGACTTAAGATTTAATTACATTCTTTAAAGTGTGTATGAACGCCAGCTTCAATAATAACTCTAAGCAACACACAATTTTTTTCCTAGATCGAATTCAGATAGGTATTATACCTCAGATTTTACAGCGTGTGAAGCTAAAAGTTAAATTTAAAACCAACGTCAATTTTTTCAACAGGTTTAATTTAAAACAAGTCCCTTAGTCTTATAAACAATATAGAACTTTAATTAATTTTTAAATAATTAAACTGAAAATTCTAAATGATTTCTATTTATTTTTATTACTTTATTTTTCATTTTGAGCAAAAATAGTTTAGGATTGTTCGGTCAATTATTTAGTTTAAACATTTCTTTGACGCATGTTTTTGTTAACATGGTTTAAATAATTTTAAAACGTGATTTTGCTACCTTATTTGAGGGAAAATTAACTAAACAAATTTAAAAAAAAAAAAACTATTTTTCAACAGCGTAATTTTTTTCCCTTTATTTAAATTTTTTTTTCTTTTTTTTTCCTGAATGTCAATAAACTTGATCATTCATTTCAGATCACACAAGAAATTTCCCCTAATACCTACAATGTGTTCTATTAAAAATTTAGTATCCAATTTTAAAATCGTTCTTAACGATTTACACTTTGTGTTTCATCTATTAAAACGAGAAAAATGATGAAAATCTGTCTAATTAAAAAACTTGACCCAAACTAATTATTTTAAAGCTAAGGACTCATTCTAATGTTTCGCAAGCATATTCGAGATTTGGGTCTACCTTTTCCTTTGCCAGTAAATAAATACATTTTAAAGAAAGTGTGCATTTTATTTGTACTTAAGTAAGCTTTTTTTCCTACCCTATTTTTTAGTTTCATAACTTTTAGTACTTTACTAATAATTTTTTCTGATAAATCGAATTTATACCTTTAGTATTATTCCTCATACACTACCTTCCCTTTTTCGACAGAATAAATACATGACAAAACCTTTTTTTTTTCCTATTGATATTTTAACACTCCTACAAACACTTACTATTTCGATAAAATACAAAAAGCTGCTAAAGTTGAAGGGGGAAAAAGAGTAAATTTTGTTTTTAAGTTCATCAACTGCTAACCCTATCCAATAAAACAAAGAAATATTATAAAACGTTTAGTAAATATGTTACTTTATTTATTTATTCGCTTTATTATTGTTTATTTATTTATTAAAAAATTGAGGTAGATTTTCAGATTTAATAAGTTTCTTTTTGAACTCCACGATAATGTTGTTTTTTCTCATCAGTTATATATAAGAAATTATAGTGACTGTCTCAATATTTTTTTTTTAAATTTTCGTGATTTTTTTATTTGTTCTCTGACTTTATATGATTATTATTTCAATTAATTTAATTACTTATCCCATTTCTTTCTTCCTTATAATACATACTAATACGTAGTGTTGTTAAAGATTTTATCTTTTTCCCATGAGTTTAAACGATACTTAATTACAAAATACACAAATTAATAGTGATCCAATGATGCAGAAAAAAGAATGGATTGATTTGTTTTTAAAAGTTCCCATTGTAGCATGAAGTAACGCTTTTTAGTGAATAACGAATAATATGTTGTTTTTAAAAATATCATAAAATTGCAAAATTTATTCTTGTCTGTTTGGGTTATGTTTGTCCCACATTTTATACAGTGTCATCAATGTCAATATAGAGAAATGCCACAGTTTTGAGAAATGGATAAGCTGCAAATATTTCAACGCTGTTTAGCTTGAGATAATAAATAGTGGTGAATGGGATAAGACCACGTATTGGGCTTCGACAGGATATCTTAATTGTGTCAAAATTAGTTATTTTTTCTTGTGGATCAACTCTGAATTACATTACTATATTATTATCCCATATTATTATACTATATTACAATTTATTACTATATTATATAGGCGTAGTGTCGTTGATTAATTCCCAGCGTCTGTGTAGTTAAGCTTGTTTTGCAATGTGAAGTCATTAATGTTCTTTCCCCCCCCCCTCAAATTAACCTTATTTATTGGTAAATACAGAAATTATTTCTAGCTCAGTTTATTAAAAGTTAACGAAAGATTCATACCCTAACAAGCAATAAGGTTTTAAAGAAATAATCCCTAGAGACTTAAGCGTTTAGGCATTACTTGGTTAAAAAAGGTCATTAAATTCAATAATATACAGTTGGAAATAAAAGTGTATACATTAGAGCACTCAAAAATAGGCACCCATTATCAAAACCTGCCAGACATGAGAAGAAACAAAAGCAATTTGAAATAACTTTTTTTCTCCTTAAACTGCAACACATTTTGTAAATCAAACATACATGTTGGAGAGAGAGAATATTAACACGAATTTGAACTAATCTTTACAGAGTAGGAGCAGAGAGAAATTATTCATAATAGAATTATGTAATATAGTTTACAGAGACTTATTACACAACAATCCTTATAACACAACTAAAAGCATAACTACATATTTTTAACGAACAAACTTCGGATTCTACAGATGAATATTAACATTGAAGACAGCCACAAACTTTTGCCAAATTGTTATCGATTGTAAACAATTACAGACGAAATCAAAACACACAAACATTGGAGTTTTTGGAAGATAAAATTACTTAACATAGGTTGTAAAAGCGAATGATAGTAAATTTATTGCATTTTTGGTGTTTAAAGCTGTCATACACCCTTTAAATTGTATATGAAAGCTCGACTTGGTGTTAATTTGAAAAAACGTGCTCTATTCACACAACTTCTACAAATTTTTCAACATCAAAATTGGAGAGATATTACGCTAAAGTTTTTACAGTGTATTTAAAAAATAAATGCATCAATCGAGATATTAGAATAAAACGAAAAAGTTTTTCAAACGGAATTTAAACTTAATTTAATAATTAAGTTACTTTACCTATAAGATGAAAGATAAAATATTTATTTACTATTTTCTTTTCTTTTGCACTATATTTTAAAATAATAAAAAGGAAATTATTATCTGATATTAATAAAATGGCGAAATTGGCTAGATTTTCTACAACAAGATGAGCTGAAACAAATTTGAAATTTTGGATAACAACTTTTGATTGGTATACAACATTAGAAGAATTTAACTAACAACCACAGAGTAAAAACTTATGTGTAATAACTCTTCGAATATAATGTTGAGGAACTCAAAGAAATTGTGCGAAAGTTACACCAAATTGAGCGATCACATACGATTTAAAAGGTGTAATTTATATCTAAACACTTAAAATTGAATAATCTTACACCAATGTTGGCGCGCTTTGACTTTCAAAAATTCAAGAAAGGCCAAATATTGTAGAATACCGCGAGTAGTTTGCTTACAATCTAGAATGAGCTGGCGATAATCTGTTGGCATTTTCAACGCTATTATTCATTAATAGAAACAAAAACTCTCCCTTAAATTTGACTGCATATTATTAGTTGTGAAACAAGCATAATTATATTTTAAGTTTTAAATCTCTGAGAACTGTTTTAACTTATTTTGTATAATTTTTAGCCGCTTCCGTTCTCTTAAACCTACTTTGAGTTGGTCTTTGATTTGTAGACTAAACACTACATCCAAGTACATCGTTTCATGACACCACTTTGTACACCAAAAGTAGTTGCCATCATTTTTGGTGTTAAGATACACAAAAATTTCGCAGTACATTTTTACATCAATACAGATGAATAAAACATTAGATTTATGATATTGAAAATACTAGATCAGTTTTTAAATGCCAGTGCACTTTTAAAAACAGCTGCATGGTATCAAATAAATATGAAAAAAATATATATACATAACACTATTGGAATAACAATTATTTTATTATTTGATAGTTTTATGTATTAGTTCTAAAATATTGAATTATTATCTATATACGAATAGCTGGAAAAAAATTATTGTATGCTGCAAAATTTTTTCCAATCTCAATTTTTCAATCTGTTTTGGCCTTTTACTATAAATTTCAATTAAATCTCATTGTTTAACGTTCATATTAAACTATTCAATCTAACTATGTGCTTTATCCTCAGATACAAATTTTCACTTCAAACAATCTATTTTACCCTCATACAAAAATTCTCAATTAAACTTTTTTATCATATTAAAATTTTCACTTCATTCTCTGTGTCTTACTTGATAAAAAAAAAAATTCCATTTAAAAACAAAACCATTTCGCAGAAAGTGAAAGATCTCTTTTCGTTCTTTCGTAGGCTGCCAACAGGCGTGCCGGCCAAATCTGCACGAATTGCGGCACTACAAATACAACACTGTGGCGAAGAAACAACCACGGAGAACCAGTGTGCAATGCCTGTGGACTATACTATAAATTACATGGGGTAAGTGCATATTTGTATATTACACATATTTTGTAAAAGTACTAAAAATAATGTTTTAAACACGATAGATATAATATACATTTAAGGCATATTTTTTTAATTAAATAACTTTTATATGATTTATGTAAATCAGGAATTTTTTTTAACTTAAATAAAAATGAATACGTGTCTTCATGCTTATAAACAAAGGACAAAATTCGAAAATTTTGTTAATAACCATTAACCACTTAAAAGTTTATACATTGGCTAATTTTTTTAAAGTGTGTCGCCAATTTTTTAAAAATTAAAAATTTTTAACAATGAAAAAATATATTTTTTATCAATTAAGAAATTTTCTTAAGCTCTTTCCAAAGCATGGTAAAATAAAGCAGATTTCAAAATATTATAAAATATCCAAACAAAAATTTCATGTTTTCTAAAAAAAATTAATAGCTATAAATAAAATAATACCTTAGGGGGCATTTTCAACGAAAAATGTGGCTATCGATAAGCAACTATTAAATTCGTCTTATATGAATGTAGCATGTTACAATGCAAGGTTAGGGATTATAATTTTATTTGCAAGAAAACTAGTAAATAAATATAGTGCGTGGAAGCTTCGTAGTGTGGAAAATAGGAAGGGGTAGAAATTGATTTTTAGTGAAATCATATTGTTTCTGACAAACTTAATTAACATTGCTTACAATTCACAATTGATCGCATCTTTTAATTATCATTTTCGAGTGGAGAAATATCCAAATCTATAACATTTACAATGGGATTATGATAACTAAAGTAAGATACGAAATGTTTGAGTTCTATTTTTTCAATATTTCTTGCAAAAACTGCATCAATGGTAGTTCCCCCTTTGGTTGTTGGATCATTCCTACCATTTATCATTTCCAATCCAAATTTGTCTTTAAGGAAGGTTAATAATGTTTCAGCTTCAGGTAACGAGAAATTCACATTAAAATCTCCTGCAAGGATCACAGGCCGCTCGTTGCCATGGTAGCGTTAAACGTTTAACGCAACCTTGTTGGAAGTCGCATTAGAAGTTTCACTTCAAAAACGAAGTAATAATAAAAATAAAATGCTCATTACTATTAAAAGTTTGTAATAATTTTAAAAAATTTCAACAAAGACTGAGGCGTAGTAGAAATATTAAAATAATATTAATAATAATACAAAGAGAAATTAAGTTAAATTATTGATAATAATTTGACGCTTTATCTTTTAAAGATATTCTAAATATAAATTGTAAGATTACGCTTTAAAGACGTCAAACAATTCTTTAAGGTATCCGACTACCTTCGGGACAAAATTTTTAAAAAATAAATATTTTCCACAACATTATTGCAATTTATATTGTATATTAATTTAAATAAACATATTTAATAGAGAAAATTTTAATATACAGGAAATTTTTTGTTTAAAGAGTATTTTTTAGATAATTTTAATGAAAATAACTCATTAACGGAAAACACTCTACACAAAAAACTATTGTACATGCAGCTATCAAACTTTTTGAGCCGTTTCGTATAACCCTCTGAAGTGTTATGAACCTCAACTTAAATGATAGCATGAAATTAAAAAAATTTATGGAGTGTTAAGCATATTTTTCCATTTTTTTNAAAGAAGGTAAAATATTCTTATTAAATTAAACGACTATGTTTAAAAAAAAACTTAGCAAAACTAATTGCCATATTACTATATATATATATATATATATATATATATAATATCTAGGTTTGACACAATATATTGATATAGTTTTGTAAACGTGTAATGGTAATTAAAATGAGATACTATTAGGTATAAATTATTTTTTGGCAATTCTTTATTTAAACTTCATAAGTAATTTCAATGGACTATTATTTATACGTATTTATGAAGTTTTTAAAGTTTGAACTCGGATTAAGTCAACATTTATGTCTTGCTTATTAACATGAGAAAAACAACAGGAGGCTGACAAACTTACCCTCTTTCATTTTTTTAAATTTTAATCAGATAATTACATATCAGTTATCAGTGTAAAATATGATTTAAATACATGCTTTACTCAATTGTCCTATTGTTAGCATTTTAATAAATTAGAGAATAATTATTTCAGTTTGACTTAATAGAAAGAACAAAATTTTGTAAGTAAACATTTAAGTTTTAGTTATTGATTTAACAATCTACAACAGGAAAAGGAAAAAATTTCCCCTTCCGTTTTTCCAATTTTGTAGCAATCAAATTAGTGCAGTTATCAAATCATTGTATACTAATAACGAGATAAAATTAAATTAACTGTGTATTTAATTAATTAATTTAATTGTACTGTTAATTTCCAAGATAATTATAAAATCTTAAAGTAAATATTTAAGTTTTATCAATTGACTTGGCATTAGACAGATGGGAAGGGGCATAATTTTTTTAATATTTTCCTTGCTATAATTCTGAAATAATCTGATTATTGCTTACAATAAACGAAAAAATTTATTTGAGAATAAAATTTGTCCAATAATTAAATTTTACTGTTAATTTTTTAAAGTAATGAGAGAATAATTACAGCATTTTAAAGTTAGCAATTAAGTGTACTTTGTTGTGACTAATGTTGTGCTTTTGTATGTTGAGTTGACGCAGCAACTTTTTCGTTTTATTTTTTTCTTTTCAATGAGAACTTTATCTTATAGTTTATAATTAAAAATTATACAAGGTGTATTGGAATGATTACCACTTATTTTTACATATTTAACAATAATTTTCACTTAAAAAAGAATTCTCATTAAGCGATGTAAAAGAAATAAAAATAAAAAAATACTTTTAAAATCTAATGAATCACTACTGTGGGTTCTTACACTGGAAATATTAAAACCAGGAAGCAGTGAAGAGTTGAAAGGTAGTAATTTGAATCACTTCTTCTTTTAATCAGACAATTAAACTGATTTTGATATTTTTCGTTCACCCTGCTCATCCAATTATTCGACAGATTTCAAAACCCTTTTTTAATTGAATAATAGCCACTTTTGCGAACAGCTTGGTCACCATTCAAAACTATCCTGCACAACATATAAACTTAAATGGTAACCAAGTCAAATGCACAGTACAACTCTATTTGAATATTCTAATTTTCAATCCCTCCTCCAATCCTAACGCCTCATTAGTTTCAAACAATATATTAACCAAATTTTTTCACCCCCTTGCTGTTATTACAGAACGATTTAGTGGTGAATATCGAATAAAGAAACTGTATTTGATATCAAACAAATTTATTAATAGTAAAACAATAAAAACAACAATATGGTGGTACGATATTTTTTAGGACTTTCCAAGAATCCTTCCATACCAATCCGTTGCGTGCCACACAAGTGATACTGAATTATTGTGAGTGATTACATCGCCCTCTGTTGGTCAGGCAGAAATTCGTAACAGCTGTTACCCGTGGCTTTACCCGAGCAGAAGTACTTTGATTTCGATTTTAGCTCCGCGGTATTGTCAAAGTTCCTTAAGTTTTGCAATATCGCAGATTTTAAGTTATAATTAGTAATAATTTAAAATCTGTCCGACAGCCATTATATCCCACAAACCCTTATAAGTATGAGTTCGGGGCATTTTAGCATTGTAGGCTGCAGAAGTACTAAAATTAGAAAAATTATCTCAATGTTCCATTACGTGCTTTACTATTCCCTCACGTACCTCTCGACCTATAACTTGAGTATCCTATAATATATACGTTACAATAAATCCGGATAGGAAATAAATCCGGTTATTATTACTACTAACTGGTAAATATTACTACTAACTAGTAAATATTACTAATAAACGCTTCTTTTGGTCAATGTGAGAAATAAAAAAGGGGGATTTCCGTTTCCGTATCGTCAGAATAATCGCCAAGTCTTGGCAACTTCCGAGCAGCGGCCCGCAAAGTGACCAACTCGAAGAGTATGACTTGTAGGCAAACATCTACATGTTAAAAAAAAATAAATCAACTTAAAATCAATTTGGCGTCTTGGCGATTGCAGTTGGCGTGGCAGATTACAATACGGAAATGTCCCCAATAAAAAAGCGTAAGCATGACATTGACCAAACTTCATTCATTATTATTTTTTTAAAAAAACGGTTAATGTGATAAATTCGCTTAGATTATTCACTTTAATTGGTTATTATTAATATTGACCGGTTAATTTTAATAATAACCGACTATTCACATTGATCGCAACATATATAAACTATTATGTAAAAAAGGCAAGCTTCGTCACCAATAGTTGATATGACAGTATGCGGCACCATAGCACAGTTCAGGTTTAAAATTTGCACAGCCATTTTAGAAAGCTTCAAAAACAAATCTAAGTAATCACTTCGTTACCAGGTTTTTATTACTTAACGTATAACTAACTATTCTACCCTACTTAATTATTTCTAAAAACAACCTAACAAAAGGAATCCCAAAAAATACTTATCATATAACTAATTTTTTAACAAAGCATAAATTATTACCTAAGACAATCTAAAGAAATTAATAATGACTTTAGTTTGTCTATACATGAAGAAGTAAGCGAGTTTATGGTGCCACATAAGATAAATAGGTGGTAACATAGATTGGTTGTGATGTAGATTATTTTACAACCTTTCTTGCATAGACTTTTTTTCGACTTAATTTTTAGAAAGAGTTTTAAATCTATATATTAAGGGTCTTCCATTTACAGAACACTTTTAGATAAACAAAGAAACAGTTATTTTGAGGAATGCATAACTTATTTTGATGTGTATTATTATAGGTAAACAGACCACCAGCAATGAAAAAGGAAGGAATTCAAAAAAGAAAGCGTAAGCCTAAAAACGCCAATCAGCAAGATACAAAAAGAAAGTCCATTTCTTCAACGCCAGGTAATTTTTTTAAAATTTTAATTTCATAATTTGAGTAAGAATTTTTAAATTATACATCAAAATTGATTATTTCCTATTCAAATCACCACTTACTGAAATGAGTATTTAATGAAATTAGACGATTATTTCAATGTTATTAAGGGAGCTACACTAAAATAATTTTTATTTCCTCTTAGAAAGAAAAAAAACACTACTTAAAAAAGTTAATTGAAGTGAAAAATTTCCTTGGTTGCAAGGATTATGTTTCAGAAACATAAATGCAACGTTTCATTGTTGACAGATAACATTTCTTTGTCTTAAGGAGTTAATGAAAAAAAGTTTCTCAAACTTTCTGAACTTTATTAGAGCTCAATATACTCAAAATAAGTGGAAAGTATAGAGAGTATAATATAATATACCCCAAAATAAAATTTAAAAAAAATAAGTAATGACGTGGCATTTACAAAATGGCGATTTCGTTTCCTTTAGCTCAGAAACTGATTGATATAGTCACACTTGTAACAAGCCCAGATACAAAAAGTGAAAGTACGTTTCATTTTAAGTGCCAATACCACATCAAAAGTAATGTCATAATGTAGGCGTAGTTGTCATGCTTTATGGCAAGTCGACCTCGTTCAAAGCTTGAGCACGCGACGGGGCATCAAAATACAAATGAAAGGGCCATAAGAACGTTTCTCGACGGTATTTCTATTTAATACATTGTTATTTGTATCGACTTTTTTCTATTCTTTCTTTATTTTTATGGCTAGTGAAGGTGGAAATGCAAATCAGATGACTTCCGCTGCGCCTGATCGTATTTCTTCTTTTTCCGACAAGGAAAGGGTGGCGAATGTCACACTATATCCAGGTGTGATATGCAAAATACCGAATGTGTCGGTTTGAGTAACTTTTATTTACTTTCTTTGAGTCAAAGTCGACACATAGAAACGACCGAACTCCTACATAACGAACGTGTGTTCCAAGGTCCGTTGTAAAGGGTAATATGACGATATAAATAATATTTTAATCATTATATTTTAGTCTAAGGAGACATTTTATGCCTAGTGCAAACATCATAAAAGGCATTATTCAAAAAGGTGCAAAAAAACACAAAACTCATCTGAAAAGATTAAATCGGCTGCATACCATAATTTTTAATACTTAAGAAAATATTTAAAACTGAAGTCCAAAACGACGTCTTTTAGGTCGAAATTGGATTAAAGTTCTTTTAAAGTCAAATTTGTGGTATTTTGAGTAAATTAGTGCCTTTTTCAAAAATTTGAAATTTTATAATAAATTTTAATATTATTAACATACTAAAGTCTCTTACCGTGTTGTTTTCTAAAATGGGGACAATTTTAATCGTCACTTCGCTTGGATTGAAACATCCAATCCTACAAACAGACAGGACAAAAAGATAAAACTTATAAACTAAATCAGAGTCTTATTGAGAAACTAAATCGAATATGGCTCATCATTCAGTCTTTGTCCAGATCTGTCTTTAATCTTTAAAAAAACAATCATTTCAGTTCATATTATCTTCAATATAGTATAAATTTCATAACGTATATTACATTGATTAATGCTAAAGTTCCTAAATGGTGCTCCGTAAAAACCCTAGGGTTCCACGGAAGGGTCAAAAGGGTTTCGTGAAGTGGTGAAAATTCTAACCGAAATTCCATCAGAATTTCAACATCTTGTCCAACAAACAACTTTGAAGGAGTGAAACTTATAAATTAATTTATAGTCTTACTGCGAATCTAAATCAGACAATAAGTTTATGGCTTACCATTCAGCTCTTGTTTCGATTTGTCCTTAATTTTTAGCAAATAAACCCTTCAGTTCATCGTCACACCATATCTTACAAATGAAAGCAATAATAAAAATATAAATAGTATTGTGTTTATTACGGATAAGTGAAAATCTGAGAAAAAGGTAGTTCTTAAGCTGTAATACAACTTAAAGGTGTATTAACTCATGACTATCTCATTTCATTTAGGTACCAAAAGCCCAGGAGATCTCAGTTCAGCAGCACCAACCAACTATTCCTCCTCAACAGCTCCAGCTAATTACGTAGTAAGCAACAATTCAACCCCTGCTACTTCTCCAGCATCTTGCGATGCAACTGCGCTGACAAGACAGCAACACCACAGCAGCAGCAGCAATAATAATCACCACAATCATCAACAACACACCGCTGGCAGTGAAGAAGCTGGAAGACATGGTCTTCAGCATTCTTCCTATAACAGTCATCACAGCATGGACCACTCCAGTTCAAGCCATCACCACCAATCAGCACTGCACGCCCTACAGGGCATGAATTCCTTTTATCCGGCACATTCACACCACCAACACCACGGTGCAACGTCTGTTATTGCATCGACTTCAACGACGTCGGGAACGTCGTCAAATAGAATGCCCACGCCATACATCAAACATGAGATTCGTGATGGTTAATCTCTCATGCATTTCTATGCATCTTCATAATCATCTAAATTGTAAGGGATACGGAGTATTTAATGCCATTTTTTCAATTGCTCTCGTGTCAGACGCGCCATGACATTGACGCCAGCGCCACCGTTATGCAATATGACACGATAACTAATATCAATATGTGGTGAGACAAAGATTAATGAACACTCGCATTTTTCCTCAATATTTATGCCTAAACGTAACAAACTGGCAATTCATGTAGCGTAATATGGAAATGCTATGTAACCGAACGTCCCGAATTGTTTATGAGGACATGATACTTGTGAGAATTGAGCGTATGAGAGCAGACCAATAGTTTGCATATATATGTGTATAACTAGAGGTCTACTCTCATATGATGATTATATAAGTTCAGATCTATAGTTTTTTTAAATTTCATTTCTGTAAGTTATGCTCTCATAATGTGTTGGTAGAAGCGGGTAAGAAAATTAGTAATAACGGGTAAGAGCTTCAGAACTATGAGTCTGCTGTTATATCATGCTATGATGATTTATCATCATTGATGATTGCAGTATTTAAGTGTATGGGAAAAGCATCATAGTTTGTATATTCATAATTGTAAGTCAATTCTTCTAGGATAATTATCATGATGATTGTGGTAACTAAGCATAAGAGAGAAGACTTATAGTTTGTATATTATGATTATAGGTCTGCTTTTATATGATGCCAACAGACTTATAATTTGTATACACATATAGACTAAGTCATCTCATAATCTTATCAATATGGTAGTTCTGCAACTGAATATATGAAAGCAGACTTTATAGATGATGGCGGCTGGGTAAATCTAAACAAACCTAGTTTGTGTATTCATTGAAATTTGTTGTAATGTTTTGGAAATTTTACATGATAATCTAGTAATTGTAAAACTTGTAAATATGCAGCTTGTATATATGATTTAAGACAATTGTATGATAATGTTTATCTAAATTTTATAAATTCTTCAATAATTATTATTAAAATTATTCAGGTATGAGTCTAACAACAGTTTGTAATTGTAAAATTCTATTTATTAATTAGACATTTATCTCAAAATACTGTACACGCCACTACTTCTCAGTTTCCTGCTCTGGCAAATAAGCTATTGACAGTCATATAATCAAGGTGTTTATAAAACGCTACCCTTACTATGTTTTTTGAATTTTTGTTATAAACAAAATCTCTTACTGGCCGACTACCACGAGTACTCCTCCAGACATCAGACTCGCGTGATGGCAGTTACTGTGATTACGAAGACAGGTCACTTCGAATATGGGTGTTAGTTAACCGTTTTTCATTGGTTGAGGTTGGGATATTTACGTCATTTTTTCAATTTTCCCAAATTTCAATCGGTTTTCGTGATCGCCGGACAGTAAGCAACCATGCAATATTACAGAAAGAAATAATGATGTAAAGACAAAATTCAGTAAGATATTCCAAACTCAAAGAACTTGTCAGTGTAAAACTATCATCAACAATTAAAGTTAAAACTCCATTAATTTTCCCGCAATTTTTAAGCTAATAATAATTAGAGACTTCACTGCGCCATCTATGTTAAACATGCATAACAGTATCTATTATTGAAGATTTTATAATTAAAAAAAATTATACTTTATAAATGAGTAAATTCAACGCTTGGGTAAACAATGATCAGAATATTTTCATTATTTTTAATCAGAATGACTTATATTGCCAAAATATTCAGAGATGTATCCTTAAGATTGTATTGATTCAAATTGCTGTGAATTCTGTCCATTCACAAAGATAAAATGGTCAGTAAACAATGAAAGTGCAATGTAAATTAAATTTATTCTATTCCAAATGATTACTATTGAAATTGCAATCAAATAGTTGATTTGTATGTATATTTAGTAGTTTATAGAAGTTAAAAGAAGTCACAATGCTTTGTGATAATTCAAAATGTAAATATCATGTTCCAATAAAAGAATGTATTATTCTTTATTTGTTTGACGTTACTTTTATTATCTGAGATTCAAAGAACATGCATTTAATGCAGAGCGCATAAGAGTATGCATATTGTTTCAATTTTCTTCGATTGTTGAACTATTGCTGTTCAAATTTTAACATTATAGTTTTAACAAAATTTCAACTATTATTTTAAATCTTATTAAAAAAATTATTAAGGTTTGAATTTTCTGATTTTAATTTTAATATAATTTCAAACATTATTCCAATTACTTTAAATTCCAACTTTTAAATTATATTTTATTTTAAAAAACTGTTACAATTCGAATTTTCATATTTTAATTTTAGCATAATTTCAGCTATTACAGTAAATTTCGCTTTGAAGAACCGTTATTGTTAAAATTATCCAATTTCAATTTTAAGATAATTCTGAGTATCAAATTATATTTCATTTTCAAAAACTGTTATTGTTCAAAATCTAATTTTAAGTTCTACTATAATTCCATCTATTAAATTAAACTTTATTTTAAAGAATCATTTTAATTACAGTTGTCTAATTTTAGCTTTAATATATTTCAAAATATGAAGTAAAATTTCATTTGAAGAAAACGTATTTAAAAAAAAAAAACATATGCGTCAAATAAAACACTAAACACAGATCTAGAAAAAATCAATCAAACTTACGACGATTTATTCCAACTTAGCATTTTGTGCGAAAATGAGAATAAAACTTTTACTTAAATTCGACTTAAACTTATAGTCACTTTTTAAAAATAATAAATAAAAAAATTACCAAAAAACAATTTGGTGTTTTTTATAAAATTAAAAAAGATCATAATAAGACTTATTTCGAAGAAGTAACAAGAGTCTCGTAGCTATATAAACTGTTATAACTGTTTAAAAAACAAATTTTTTAATCAATTAACAACTATTTACACTGTAGAAAATCATGTACAGTGGAGCATCGTTTATACGACGATCACTTATACGACGTTTACATTTATACGACCTTTTAGTGTGGTCCCAAATCATTCCTATTCATTTTAATGTAAAAATATATCGTTTGTACGACGCACAAAATCGGTTGGTTATACGTCGGTTTTTAGATTTTGTTCACGTTTATTTAATTTTTTATTTTTTCTTGTGTATTTTAAAAAAGGGGGGAATTTGCCAACATGAATGATACAGAAGAGGGTGCCAACAAGAATGCTTGGATGACGACCGTAATTTTTACTAGATGACTGAAAAAACTGGACAATGTTATGAAGTGGCAAAAGCGAAAAATTTTGCTATTCATCGATCAATGTCCAGCACACCCATCGATACTAATTATTTTGGAAAAAGTAAAAGCTCTCTTTTTTCCTGCAAATTGCACAAGTGCGCTTCAGCCGTTAGATTTTGCCGTGATTAGAAATCTAAAATTGCATCATAGAAAGCAGCAAGTTCAACTCGCTATTCAAATCATTGTAGAGACTAATAGCAAGACAATATAATTAAAGGTAACATACATTCAAATTGCTCACTGCAATTTTTCTTCTTTGGTTATTTGTTTGGTTTGCTTTGTCTAATTTAGAAATGTATGTAAAACAACAAGTTAAACATTAAAATTAACTGAAAACAGAGTTAGTTTCAGTTTTAGAAGTAAAAATCGATTATACGACGTTATCGTTTATACGACGCTTTTCGGTGGTCCCTTCGGTGTCGTATAAACGATGCTCCACTGTATATAGTTGAAAGAGAAATTAAAACAAATTAACAAATCTCTAAACCGATAATTTATTCAAAAATTTAAAAACAAATTCAAGTTTGAAAAAAAGTTGCTTTCAAATAATAAATTGGGCACTTAAAACTTTCTCACCAAAAAAAAATTATTTTTTCATTTAGGTCCACGATTGGATATACCAGACACCCGGCTAAATTTTCATAACCAGCTTATTATCTGGACTTGCTTTATAAATTTCAGTATTAAGTATATACCCAATCAATTTTGTTGAGTGAGACACAAACCACGTAAAAATTTATAGTAAGCTAAAGCAATCTAAAAAAAACAATAATATTTCGTGTAAAATACCGTGTCGATTAGTTTCTTAATCATTTTAACTAAAATAACTGATTTAGACATGATATATTTTACTATTTTTCGAAATTTTAATGCAGATAGAAATGCAGCAAATGAGAAAAATTTAAAACTGAGTAAAAATTACATACTCAGTTGTAGCTTATTGAGACTGGAGAACCTTACATTATTTTGAGCAGTTCAATCTTATTTTAAACAAAGAACACACTGAGAAAAAAGTAAGATTGAAACTATCAGAATATGGTACAATTTACCGTGTTTATGGCTATATGGGAACACCAATAAGCTCAATAATTTTTACCGAAGTACTTTGGTAAATATCATATCTTACTGCAAGGCCATTCCATTTATTCGATTAAATTTACTTTTCAGCTTTGTATTTTGTACGAAATGTGGGGTAATAGGAACTATAATTTTGAATGCCAGAATATAAGTTAAGTGTTTCCAAATGAACTGAAAAATTTCCGTATGAATGGTTTATATACTGCTCATTATGGTTTTTATAACCAGAATTATGGACATTTTTAACAGAACTGTCATCACTATACAGTACGGTAATTTTAATAGAATTTTTTTTCTCTGTGCGATATTACAACTTTATTACACTAAACAATAAATTAAATTTGGAACATTTTAAAAATTTTATTAGTGGTTCATTTTAAATTCGAACCAAAGAATCGATATGTGACAGATTTATTCTTTTTTAAATTAAATTAAAATTATAATTAAAATATTAATTATATTTTAAATTAAATTTTCTCCATAAAGCTCACTATTTACTGGTTGACTCAATTTACAACCTTGCCAGGATAGAGATCTTTTTCTTCTTCCAAATCCCACCGAACTATGGGACTTTCCTTTGCTATGTAACACAAATGTGAGTTCAGTCTGAAAAACCTTTTTACAACGGTGAGTTTGGCCGAAAGCTAGATCTAGAAATTGATTCATGGGTTGAGTTCATAATAATATAGAGTTCAGCAAAAAGTTCGGCAAACTTACTATAAAATTGCTCTACTCTGTTAAAAAATTCGGGATCAAATTACGGTATAAAATAACGGCATTTTGGGTTCATCATCTGTAAAATCCATTCTTCCGTAGAATATTATACCTCAATTTTTGCATTAATACTTAGTTAATTAGAGTGATTCAGTGAATTTACAGTGATCATTATTTCAAAAATTACAGTACATCAGAATTTTTACTCCGTAACATGTTCAGGGAAAAATGGATTTTACACTAAAATCCGGTGCCGGTTACTTACACTAAAATAAGTGTGCCGGTATTTCCTGCCGTAATTCGATCCGGAATTTTTTAGTGTATCTTCGATCTTCTATTCAACGTTAGAAATAAAATGAAATCTTAATCGAAATGGCGAAAAATTCAGGAATTTGTACTAACGTAACTCAGATAGGTACATAGATACTTTTACTACTCAGATACTTTTTTTAAAACTATCTCTGATTTTTTTAAAGCAAACTATTGACTCTTTCAATTAATTCCTTTAGAAAGTGAATCAGTTCTATGCTTGTTGCGAGGATTTTTTTTTCTTCCCCAAAAAGAGGATTTTTTTTTTCAAAAAGTGGGTCTAATCTAAGTGCATTTACCAGATGATCGGAAGGGTTAGATCATTTCAGCTACTACAACATTGTTAAACTTTCTTACACTTAATTAAATTATGTTCCATGACACTTTTAATTTTTTATGCATAAAATAAGATGAAACCGGGCAAGGAGGAGATTCCATGTCTACTCCTCTCCATCCGTAACAAGTTTCTTTACATCTATAAAAGAAAATTGGAATTTTTTTTTCCTGGTAGTTTTCACTAAATGAATTTTTGCATTTATCTGAAATTGAAATTGTCTAGCTTAATTTACGAATAAATTTGAGAGAAAAGAGGCGGCTGCAAATTTTATGAATTGACATTAAATGACTCCAAAACCAAGTAACTGCCTGTACAGAAAATATCTTGTGATAGTTATTCTCCCAATCATTTAAAATTGAGTCGCGATGACTCAGGGGATGGAGCGCTCGCCTTCCAATGAGGCGAACCGGGTTCGAATCCCAGTCGATATGAATTCCGCATCCGGCTTGCACCGACCAAAGTGCTGACGCGAAGTATCCTCAGTGGTTGACTGAACATGGGTTAGAGTCCTCTTGCCGTCAGGTTAACAGTGGGAGGTTCTCGTGGTCTTCTTCTCCATGTAACGCAAAAGCTGATTAACTCCATCAAAAAGTCCTCCACGAAGGTAAATCTCTCCCAATACTCGATCCGGGAGTTCCCTTAGTAGTAGTAAAGTAGTAAACCCATAAAATTGGGTTGGCTGTTCAACGACGGTTATAAAAAATAAAATAAAATCATTTAAAATTGAGCACGTGAGCTTGAAATTTTACTTGTTTCGAATTTTCCGGGATATTTTGCTAACATTTTTTTTTTAAATCTAAAATCATATCTAACTGAACATAGAAACTTTTTTTTCCTACCTTCATTTTTTTTAAAAAATATCGTCTAATCCAATCTGAAAAACA